CCCCCCCCCCCCCCACGCGGCCAAGCTCAAGCCTCCTTTCCCCCCCATCCATGGGAATCATGCCGGCACACGACGGACTTACTTTGAACCCGCCTCGTCGAAAATCTTGCTCATTTTGTGGAACATCGGGTCCATCTTGAAGGCGCGGTCTGCCTCGCTGTAGACAACCGAGAAATTTTGTTTTTTTTGCCCAAGAGCCGCAGCAGCGCAAGAAAAAGGATGGCAAAAGGGGAGTGTGCGGCGCGCGGCCCGTGGGGGAGGTAGGCAACACGACAGGAACTGTCAGACAAAAAGAACACCGCGGATGCGGTAGCCGAACAGAACAAGTACATCAGGGCAAACAGCCTACCGACGTTCTTATCACCCGCCACCGTAGGCAAAAAATAGCACAAAAGCAGAGAACCCGCGGTGGTCTGCCAATCCAGACCACTGGACAGAAAACGCCTCCCCCCAACCGGAAAACCAAAAAGAGACTGTCACCCTCGATGAAGAGCTGGGCAACTTGACAACACAACATGGGGGGAGGGGGTACATACAGTGCAGGGACGAACTCAAAGCTGAACAACGCTTCAAAGAACAATAAAAGTGAACAACAACAAATACAACAAGAACAAGAACAACAAGAACAACAACGGCAGCAACAACGACGATAGCAATCATTTACAACACTACTGTGAACAGAAAATAAAACGAAAACAACGAGCGATGCAGCAGCAGTAGATCGGTAGATACATGCCTCTGGTCGAGCTGCTCGGGCTTCTTGAGCGTTTCGTGGACGCCCAATCGCGCCGACCGCTCAGAACTCCCGACGGCAGCACTGTTGCAGCGTAACCAAGACAGATAGGCACCGATGGTCAGGGTGATATGCTGCCACCGCCGCCGCAAAACATGAGTTGCAACCAGAGAGCACAAGAACTTGAAACGGGACCTCCTAGCATATGCCCGAGGCACGTAGACCACTATCAACGATGCGCATGTTCGATCAGCAGAGCGCACCACGTGGAAGGGTGCGCAAGTAAAACACGCCGCTGGACGCGCCTACCGCAGCGCAACCCACACCACAGGTCCAGAAGCGTACCACACACGAATGCCCCAAGGTTACTGCAGCATACCGGCGTCACACAAGACACACACCACGCAACACCAAATATCATATGAAGTGGTACAAAAAAAAAAAAAACATGAAGCGACCGCCAAAAGAAAGAAACGAGCAGAGAGAGAGAGAGAGAGAGAGAGAGAGAGAGAGAGAGAGAGAGAGAGAGNGAGAGAGAGAGAGAGAGAGAGAGAGAGAGAGAAGGAGAGAGAGAGACACAGAGCTATCGGGCGCCCAAGAAAAAGGCGAAAAACCGAAAACAAATGATCTTCCTACTCACCCGGCACCCTTATCGGCGTTGTCGTTGTCGGAGCGATTGAGGTTGTCCAGCAGGGAGTAACTGCTTATGTGCGTGGCGTCCACCCTATGTTTTTTGTATTTTTTTGTCCGACATGAGAGCCGCGCGCGACGTTGGAAAACAATCAGCGACTGACGGTCAATACATAACAAACCACAGACCCGATCGCCGCAACAAACGGCGATGAACGAACGGGTTGTCTTGAAGACACGTTGACTACCCGGGGCAGCAAGCAAGAGGCTCTTCCGCCTAATCACACACAAAAACACGCCCCCACCACTCGCGTTTCGGGGAGCGTAGGTTACGGAGTGCGATATGTGGACTGCTTCGCTGGTAGTTGGCAAGCAAGAACCTTCTCGCCCCCCCCCCCCCCCCCCCCCCCCCCCCCCCCCCCCCCCCCCCCCCCCCCCCCCCCCCCCCNACATGAAACTGGCGGAGTACAACATGTGGATTGTCCTAGCAGACAGTGCCTCTACAAAAAACAGTAGCCGGGACGGCAGCGTACCGTTGTGTGGGACACGCAGGCTCACCAACATCGGAAAAAATAGAAAAAAACACACAAGCACGATAGCCCGCAAACAGAGATGGTAACTTGAACGACAGGGGCAGAAAGGTGACGACACCAACATGACCGAGACACTGATGTCACTGTCAAAAAACATTTTGCCGTGTTCAGTAGGGCCCTCCGAACGAACACGAATAATCGTCGATGATCCTGAGAAATGCTGGCGATGCAACGCCAGCAGAAACAGTAGCCGTAACCGCCGTGTCATCATCATCATCATCATCATCATCATCATCATCATCAACAACGACAACAACCGCAACAACAGCATCAACAACAACAACAGCAATGAAGGAAAGCCGTACCTGTGGGAGTAGATCTTGACGGAGGCGTCGAGGGTGCAAGAGGCCTTCTGGAAGTTAACCTTTGACCCCCCCATTTGCCCGCCCTCGTCCAAGATGACCCTGATTCGCGACGATACAGTAGCCACGGTAAGAAGATCAGACTTACACTGCTTTTTATGGCTCCAAAATGTTGCAAAAAGAGGCTGCATTTCTGCAACTTTTTTTGCAGCTTTCCTAATGTACGCTCAGTATGGGAGCTAAAAGTTGCACGCACAGTTCTGCAACTTTTTATCCGGGGCGAATAGCTGCAATCTGGCCGAAGCGTTTTGCAGCTTTTCGCGACGAAGGGGGTCCAAGAAAAGTTGCACGGCGCAACTTCTGCCGATCCACGTCAAGCTGCTACCCCTACCGCACACGTAGACCCTCTCCAGCTTCGATTGTGGGAAGGGTGTGATCACCGATATCTCGACGAACACTTAACAAGTTGCCTCATGAGAGGTATCTTGAAGGAGGTGATGCCATGGGGTGTTGGGCAATACCAAGGTTTCGGGTCGTGAGAGACCGAATGCGCCGGGAAAAAAAGTTTGTGCTGTGCGCGACCGTCAATGGCCGCGAGCGGATAGTTCAAGTTCGGTGTTTTCGATCGCCACGGGTGGGTTTGGTTGTCCACCGATAGCTTTCCGAAGGAGGAAGTAACAGCAAAAGCAAGGTCACTCGGCGGGAGGTAGCTCTCTGCTCCACCTTTCATGCCCAAGGTTTGGTGCGCCGTGGGGTATCGTGCGCGTCGGGAAAAAAGTTTTGATCGACCCAAAAATACCTACGTCAGAGAGCGGTTGGTTCAAGTTCGTAGGGATTGTGTGCTCATGGTTTGGATTTCCAACGAAAACTTTTCGAAGGAGGAGGCAACACCAACAGCAATGCCACCCCAAGGGAGCCAGCTCTACCCAGCATCTTTCTGGTACCAGGTTGGATGCCTTGGGGTATCGTGAGTGTGGAGAAACAAGGTTGCATCTACTCTGTCCCGCACGTTCTGACCGTTTTTTTCGCGGTGCGATATGAAAGGCGTGAGTGTGCCTTCTTCTCGCCGTTGCAAAAAAAAAAAAAAAAACGATCACGCCTCCGCAGTCCGCCAGTCCCGTGCACAAAACTTTCTTCGTCCCATAGAGAGCGTGCACGAAAAATTCCATTGACCAAAGTTGCAAGAAAAGTTGCTGGAAAAGTTTGCAGTTTTTATTGCAACATGTTGGAGCCATAAAAAGCGGTGTTATGGTGATACAGAGATACAAAGCGCTTGCGAGTGCGGGTGAAAGCGCGTGGCACATACTTCCCGCACTAGAGGGCCCCCGACTGCACTACGAGTTTGCTCTGGTCCGGCCGCTGTCGTCCACGACGAATATCACGAAATAATAGGCGCGAGAGAAAGATACTCTTTCACCATCAGCACACATTCAGCTGCTGAGCACCGGATGGCAGCTTCGCACGGAGACAGGGACGTACGCCGTAACCCGCACCACACAACACACACCCCGGTGATTGACTATATAAGGTAGGCCCCCTCTCGTGAGATTGATGCACGGGGCACCCACGGACCCGGAGGGTATACCGCCCACAAAACGCCCGCTACTCTCCCACTACACCACCGCGCGTACAGCGGCGACAGCAGCAACAGCAGCAGCAGCAGCAGCAGCAGCAGCAGCAGCAGCAGCAGCAGCAGCAGCAGTTCACCTGTCCATGTAGTCGATGAGATGCAGCCCCCAGCACTTGTCTCGGGTGATCTTATTTTCCGAGCTGAGCTTGATGATGGAGCTGTACATGCTGGTCAGCTTGCTCTGCTCGACGCAGACGGCCACACACAGCAGCGAATATATATATATATAAATCGGACTCAATCAAAACGGCGATCTCAAAAGCGGCAGCGCTGGTCTGTGCTGCGGACGAACCAAGCGATGTTTGTGAAAGCGCGGTGGCCGAGCGTGACCCTGGGCGCATGTACAACTGTCCGCCCAAAAATGCAAGTCCGGCGCTAGGAGGAAACAGCAGAGGGTTTCCAAAATGAAAAAAACTCAAACACGCGACTGCGAGCAGAACAAGGCAAATATATACCACTACAAAGCTCGACAAGAACACCGGCCGGAGCTGGCTCTTGAATCTTTCTTGGGAAAACGTGACGAGCAACAGCAGGCATTCCGAACTCTCGTGAGACGCACACCGACCCACTCGCCAAGAATAAAAATTGACCTTGCCCCGAGAGGTCGTAAGGTAAGTCTCCGAAGTTCACATGGTTCACCAAAACGGTGTGCTGTTTGTCACGCCGTGGGCTTTTCTACAAGGCTGTTATTTTGAGTAGTGCTGAGACGTCCGTGCAAATTAATGTACGTCGCAAGGGGCCGCTGACCCTCCCTCTTGCGGCGGGTTCCACCTTCCGCGCCAGGTTGGTACCCAAAACTCTGAACTACATATTTTTTGGCTCCTTTGTTCATCACTTGATTGTCTGCCACCGGGCAAGATCGCTCCACCCCGTGGTCACACTGAAGGGTTCCTCTCCCTGAGGCCCCCTACACCCACCCCTCCTGCTAGTCCTGCCTTCGATTTTGATAATGAAAAGCACGCGAAGAACGAAAAAGTATCTTCTCTCCTCCCGGGCACACGAGGAATCAAGAATCCTGCGCTTGCCTGGTCAGCGTTGGCATCGAACCCGCCCCCTCCGAAACCAGAAAGCCTCCTTCCAACAGAAGAACGCCTCCGTCCAAGCAACGACTTCCGCGCCGACCTGCTTGTTTGTTGTCCAAGCAGGAGGTCGATCATGATGAACTGATAGATGTTTCCGAGTCGGTCGTGTATGGGATACCGCTCGACAGCAAGAAAGGTGTTGACACCTTTGCTTGATGGAGTCAAACAACACGTAGTCTCCCCCACATCGGGAGGGGGTTCTGCTACACCGTGTAGTTGGCACAACTGTAGACATCACCCCCCCCCCCCCCCCCCCNTAAGGCTCGGTCACTCCACAGCAGAGAGAGTGGCGGGAGCCGAAAACGGCGGCGTGGGAACCCTCTCCTCGACATCGTTCCAAAACGCATCGTTTGATCAACAACATATGCATATATCCTCTTCGTCGTGGAGTAATCGACAGCAGTCCAGGTGGCGTGATATCTTACGTTACCTACGGCGGTGGATCGCGGTACGCTGTTCCAGTTGTGTTTAGACAAGAGCGGAAGTACGGTGGTGGCACCTGTAACATGGGGAGTGCAATAACTAAACAGCACGTGAAAACAGCCCCACCTTGATCCGCTTTCGCCAGAACGTGGCCCCTTACCCCCGCCGGCTGGAGTGTCTCCGGTAGGCTCGGCATTCTCCCTATCGTTTTCCTTCTCGGGAGTGTCGGCGATGAGCGAGCTCGCAATGAAGATTCCCGTGTCTTGGAGGGCCATGCTGCTGCTGCCGCTGCTGCCAAAGTTTATGAGCCTTCAGCCAACCAGCTCCTGGGTGTTGCCAGGTCACTCAGAGCACAGCTGAGGTTTCCTCTTGTTCGCACCGCAGCTATCGAGGGCGTGCCTGATGCGTTAGGGCGCTAGGGAGCGTCGTGCCCACAGCAGCCCAAGCTCGACTCTCTGTCGCTCTCCTGTCGCAGCAAACACACCGATTTCAATCACAAACCCAAGCCACGACAGCGAAGAAAGGTCACAGGATCGAGGCAGCTGCACGTGTCAATACTCTCGCCACTGCTGCTATCGCTGGTCTCGCGATTATTGCTCAAGACTCGCCAAATTGCCAAACGGCCAATGGCTGGGGCACGCAAATAGTACTAAATCGGGGAGGCTATAGACCGCGGACGGCATTTAACTTGTAATTGTAACCGTTGGGAGAATAATGGGCACCGAACTCGAACAGCAGGCATATCTCACTTTTGATTTCTTGACCTACGTCACTTTGTGCCTTTTTTTTGTGTCGAACAGAAGGCATCTGTCGTGCAATATCATGCCCCCTGTCCTAACACCCTCTGCGCAGCAGAGCCTATCTCTGTGCAAGGAAGATTCAAACATGAATGGGCTGAGAGTTTGAATTTGAAGTCGTCCATCGAAGCGCCAGCGAGCACCCCCCCCCCCGTGCCCGATCCGCCCAACAATAACCACAATTTCAATCTTGTTTCTTGAAAGTGCAGCCAAAGCACAATTTCAGAAAGATCACCATACGAGGTACAACCACAACAGTAGAAGCAGTCGCAGGTCGCACGGGGGGGTGTCTTGGGAAGTTTTTTTCAATCAGTGGGACAAAACTGACTACATGCGTCTTGGCGGCTTCGCTGACACAACAGGAGCGGAAGAGCCAGTCCACACCACGCCATCCCTCACCGCAAGTACAACAACCATCCATTTGCGGACACTTGCGGCCTGACTTTTCTACCGATTTACCGAACTGGCTTGACCCAACACACACAACTGAGGGTAGAGGAAAGACATCTCGCAGAGAGCCCTACACCTTCCTTCCCCAGGCTTCCCAACAGCGTCCGAGCGCCGTCAGAGATCGAGGTATGCGGGCTCCAGCAAAGCAGGAAAGAACGTTGAGTTCTCAAGTTGACAGTAGGAGGGAAATAAGTGTAGCTCGCTCTGCTGGCGGGATCCCTGACAAACGTGATCGAGTTTCTGAACCTGGGTGCTGCTGTTGTTTGAAAGGTCTCCAGGATATTATACAGAAATAGTATCATACAGAAACCGACGTTTCCCTGAGCGATCGAATGCCGATGTATGCGCCGATCAATCCTGGGACACTGTTGGCTTCTAGTCTGTAGCTTCTGAGTCCCGGGTATATGTTTGGTTGCTCCGTGCTGCCGTAGCCGAAAGGGTGCCGGCGACATTTACAACAAACAGCAGTTCTGAGTTCGCTGAAAGTTGACTTGCACTTACAACACGAAAGGGTCGTCGTTGTGCAACGTGCGTTTCAACTGCAGTTTGGCTATGGTTTTAACCGGTAGTTTGGGCAGAGACGGTTCCGATGTTTTTGGTGGGCCCAGTGTAGAGCATTCTCGTCGAAGAAAGCGTCCGAGACCACCCGTGCGAAAACTTGGGGTTCCACCCAGAGCATCGCCACCACCAGCCTTTCATTTTTTCCTCAAAGGGTGAGCGCAAAGACGTGCGTTTGTTGGAGCTCATAACGCCGATCTGCTTTCGCGACGACAAACAGTCAACACCAGCACCAGCAGCAAGCAGCAGTCACGTATATTGCTACCGCAGCAGCCACAGCAGCAGCTGCAGCAACACCGGAAACGAAAATATCTTGCTTCTCTTTCCCCTCCCCGCTCCCAGCCGCACCTACTCGCCACCACCTCAGATAGTCATCAACAGGATGGTCCAGCCGGCGATGATTCGAATGGCAGCTAGGCGAGCTGTGGTCGTATGCGGAGCCAGAACAACGACCGCAACATCTGCAGGTAAGAGTTCGGGGTTATTGTTCGAATGGGGGCAACCGCCTCTTCTTATTTTTTTGCAGCAGCATTGCGATTGTTCTCTCGTAGGTAGGAGGAAGCAGCAGCGGCAGGTTGGAATATTAATATTGGAACAAAGACGTTCTTGATGTAGATAGTACTTTGGTAGACAAATACGAACCTGCGCCACAGGTCGAGAGATGTATGTGGTAATCGGCAGATATTTGTTGTATGCAGTGGTGTTCACGCGGTGGTGCGCGGTCATTCCGTACTTGTTTGCAAAGCTGAGCTGTCGTCTCTGCTGCTGCAGCAAGTTATAGTCTCCGACAGCAGTTCTTGTATGCTAACTCCAGAGTCTGCTTGTATGCATAAGATGATGGGCGTCTGTGTGGTGCATATGCAATCTCGGTGTTCTGGCTGTTCTTGTCTAAGGGGTGGGAGCGCGAGACCGTGTGCGGTATATGTCTCCCTTCTCTAGGCAAAGCCTGCTGTGCTGGTCGTTACCAGCATTTCGTCTATCCTGCAAGCTAGTTTGGGTCTGGTCTGTTGTTCCATCGCCGGCGTTTCTCTGGACACGATGGACACGATGCCACTGCTGCTGCTTATTGCTGCGCAAATTGACCCTACCTATCACTAGTGCCTGTACGGCTGACCTCGGCCTCTGCGCTGCCTGTTGCAGCCCGCCGACAGCAGGAGTGATGTTGCGGAGGGGGCACACGATGATGCCGTCCAGCAGTCAAAACCCTTTTTTTTCGGCGTACGCATGTGCAGAAAGCCGCAGCAGCAGCAGAAGCAACAGCAGCGGCACCCAAATTCTTGGATATCTGGATATTTCCTGCGGAGTGTATCACAAGGGCGAATGTCAAGCCGATCATGTCTGTGGTGATAACTGCTGCTTTTTTCAGCTCGGCTGCTTTGCATTCGTTTACTGACTTCCCCCCCCGCAGGGCTGAGAGCGGCGAAAGCCGGAGGGGGGTGGCTAGCTCCTCGACAATCGCAGCAGCAGCATCAGCAGCAGCAGTGGTTTTCAGCGGAGCCGGCGCCCTTGAGCAAAAAGAGCGTCATGTTTGTGTGCAAGCGGAACAGCTGCAGATCCCAGGTGATCGAGCGTGCACACCTTTGCAGCGCGCACGGAAGTATTATGTAGTCGATCACGCTTTTCTGTCTCGGGTGTTGCAAGCCACGTCCTGTGGAAACGCACACCCCGGCTGGTGTCTTCCTTCTACTTTTCCATGTGTACGTCACATTCATCATATCCATTTGCATACTACCCTGCGAGGTATCTTCGAAAGGGTTGGTAAAGAGTGAAAGTGTTAACGGCTGTAGACTAGACTATTATAGTATTCCCTGGGTCCCCCTGTAACGGCCGTTGGCCGCTCTTCGTTTTGTGGTGACTAAGGGGGCGGCGTC